GAGATGGACTGCGAGTGGCTGTGTGGTCTCAGCTGCTCTAGCTTGCCAACAGCCCTTGAAGAGCGTTTTAGGGCTGTGCTTAGGGTAGGCAAGCCCTTTTGCTGATCTCATTTGGTTTTGAGGCTCCCTCACCAGCTCAGGATTAAGGTAGCTGCCCTTGACACCTAGCTTGTTCCTGTTACTCCTGTGTTGTCACTTTTAGTTGAGCCTCGCTACAGACTCGAACCGAGCGGGGTTTATCTGGTGGACGGCGCTGTTTGTGTGTGCCCCTTTTTGCATGTGTCAGTGGAGCTTACAGAGCCTCACACCGGCTTCCTGCTTGGATAATAACCAAACCCCGTTTCTCACTGATGGGTAAATGTTGAGCTGATGCTGTGGCAGCACTTCCACTCAGTGACATTTGCCCTGAAGGGTCAGCAAGTAAATAAAACATAGATCTATGTTTATGGCTGTTGTCCTGTCTCTTACCAAATGTTTTCCTTTCTAGACTAAACAAACCAACTCTCTCTACTTGGAAGCTCATGGTTTCAAGGGTCGGGTTTCTGCTACTGTGCTCTGCAATCTCTCCAACTTGTTTACATCTGAATTTAAGTGAAGGGCTCAACAGCTGACAACTGCTGTCCACTTTACCAGCTGGCAACTGTATATATTTGCCATGTTTTACCACAAGCACTTCTATTGATACAATGCAAAATGGCATTTTCTTTTTAAACTGCTTAACATTTTTGATTCTTCTCCTGTAGTTTTGCTGCCTAGTCATAGCCATTTTGTGTGCTGGTACCTTGCTCTTTGACAATGTTTTGTCTATGAATGTATTTGCTGTGTTACTTTCTATTCAGTTCTCTCTATTGTCAAGTTCATGGAAAGCGTAATTTAGTTGTTCAAGATACTTGTGCTCTGCTCACTTCTTCACTAAAGTAATGTTACCACCTTTGGATGAAGCAAGATCTACATTGAGGCAAAATTATGAGAACTTCAGGTTTTGGTTATTCTAGGAACTCAAACAGGTCAGACCTTCATCTTCCTGTACTTTTATTTCATTCCTTGTATGTTCTTTTTATTCTACAGGAACATGGTTTAGTGAGCTGATGGGAGAAATGAGGAAGACTATAAAGCATACTAAAAGTATTAATTTTCATAGTTCTGCTTGCCAAGATTTTATACCAGTAGATAAGCTTATTAGTACATTTTATAGTAGTGTCAATGTTTTATTGCCATTGATTATGTATTTTAACAACTATTTGTCAGATGACTTATTTTTTTCAGTCATATGGGAGAAAAACAAGACAACTTATACACTAAGCGTGCCATATGTGCATGCTACCTTGTGTGCTGTACAAGTGGAAAATATGTCGGGAAGAACTTCCTGGAATCTGGAAAGGGCAAATGACAGTGCCACTTGGGAATCTATAGGAATGATTTTCTTGAGAAAAGCCTGTGTGCAGTTTGTAGTGACTTCTGGTGAACTGACTTGTGGGATTCCTCCATAGTCGTGATTACATACTGTGCTGGTTTTGGTAGAGATAATTTTCTTCACAGTAGCTAATATGGGACTATGTCTTCGATTTGTGCTGGAAGTGGCACTGATAACAGAGGGATGTTTTTGTTATTGCTGAGCAAAGTCAAGGTCTTTTCTGCTCCTCACGCCACCCCAGGAGCAAGTAGCTGGAGGTGTGCAAGATGTGGGGAGGGAACACAGTTGGGACAGCGACCCCAGCTGACCCAAGGGATATTCCGTACTATATCCCCTGCAGCATATAAAGCTGGGGGAAGAAGGAGCAAGGGAGGACATTGGGAGTGACGGTGTTTGTCTTCCCAAGTCACCGTTACGCGTGCTGGAGCCCTGCTTTCCTGGAGAAGGCTGAACACCTGCCTGCCCATGGGAAGTGGTGAAGGAATTCCTTGTTTTGTTTTGCCTGTGCACGTGGCTTTGCTTTACCTGTTAAACTGTCTTCATCTCAGCCTACAAGTTTTCTTGCTTTTATCACTCTGATTTTCTTCCCCTTCCCACCAGCAGGGAGTGAGTTATCAACTGGCTGGGGCTGAGCTGCTGGCTGGGGATAAATAACAACATATATGTTATTTAGAGGAAATGAATATGATTGTGAAGTGCAGCTTTTCTGATTATGCTAGCTTACCTGGACAGAGAGGTCAAATTAAGTGTCTCATTGTATGTAAAGTCTTTAAAATAATTCCCCAGTAACACACTAGCTGCACACACATTTTATATTGAAATATCACCCATTTATTGACGTGTTAGGGCAAATAAAATTATCTTAAAAAATAGGAGTGTTTATATCTCACATTTGTTTGTTCAATGGGTGAAACTTTTATTAAAATATTTTGAAATCTTTTGCCCAAACATTAAGCTGTTATATTCTTTAATAACCTTTTTTTTTTCTTTTTTTCCTACCCTCCTTCCTGTTCTTCTTCTGAATAGATTATTTGTCTAGTTTCAAGGATTGAAAGCCCACACATGGTTTTCCAGAGCAGTATGACGAGTTTGCAGTTCCAGGAGGCTGGGCTGTTGCAATAAGTTTCCCAGACTGTCAATGGCCGTTGTGTAATTTTGACCAAGCCAAGGTTTTGACTAGTTGGTCACTGAATGAGCTTCTTTTTTCCTGCCCTGCTCAGATATCTTTGATCAAAAACCTCTCAAAAATTAAACGTATTTTAGGTGTATAAGCATGGATGTGTAACAAACACCATTCTGGTTCTGACCAGTACAGTGCCACAACCACGTGTGCACAATGTAAGAGCACAGCAGGTATGCATGATACCTCTCTCTGATGAAAAGTTGCTCAGGGAACTGGGGTTGTTTACGCTGGAGAAAAAGAGGTTGAAAGGAGACCTTACTGGTCTCTGCAACTCCCTGAAAGGAGATTGTAGCAAAGTGGGGGTCAGTCTCTTCTCCAAGGAACAAGTGATGAGAAGAAACAGCCTCCAGTTGCAGGAAAGGTTTAGACTGGATATTAGCAAAATTTCTTCACAGAAAGGGTTGTTAAGCACTTGCATGGGCTGCCCAGGGAAGTGGTGGAGTCACCATCCCTGAAAGTATTTAAAAGATGAGTAGATGTGGTGCTTAGGGACATGGCTTAGTGGTGGACTTGGCAGTGTTAGATTAATGGTTGTACTCAAGGGTCTTTTCCAAAATAAATGATTCTATAAGAAATAGCAACTTTGTCTGTTTTGAACGAGATTCCTTATGTGCTGTGCTGTAATCCTCAAAGCTTGGGAACACCTATTTGTACATTCCATATTGCAGTTTCAGATAAAAACAAGTGAGAGTGTGTATAGGTCTGTGGTCTCTATTGATTCCTTGCAACAGTATCTGTTCCGAACACCATGTTATGCCCATGGGGAGATCTGGGAAGATTTCTTGGTTTGTATTATTTCCAAAGTGCTGTTAAGTGTCATGTACTAAATACCAAGGAATTGAGGGAACTGACTGATACAGTTGCCAAGTCACGCTCCATGATATTTGAAAAGTCATGGCAATCGGGTAAAGTCCCTGGTGACTGGAAGAAGGGAAACATTGCACCCATCTTTAAGAAAGGTAGAAAGGAGGACCCTGGGAACTTCCAACCTGTCAGCCTCACCTCTGTGCCTGGGAAGATGATGGAACCGATCCTCCTAGAAGCTCTGCTAAGGCACATGGGGGACAGGGAGGTGATTTGAGACAGCCAGCATGGCTTTGCTCAGGGCAAGTCCTGCTTGACCAGCCTAGTGGCTTTCCACAATGAAGTGGCTACATCAGTGGACAAGGGAATGATAGTTGTCATCTGTCTGGACATCTGCTAGGCCTTTGACACAATCCCTCACAACATCCTTCTCTGTAAGTTGGAGTGATAGGCATTTGATGGGTGGATTGTTCAGCGGTTAAGGAATTGGCTGGATGATCGCATCCAGAGGGTAGTGGTCAATGGCTCGATGTCCGGATGGGTCACAGACATGGGTCTGTACTGGCACCAGTGCTGTTTAGTATCTTGATCAATGATATAGACAGCGTGATCGAGTGCACCATCAGCATGTTTGCAGATGACACCAAGCTGAGTGGTGTGGTCAGCGTGCCAGAAGGACAGAATGTCATCCAGAGGAACCTGGAAAAGCTGGGGAAGTGGGCCTGTGGGAGCCTCATGAAGTTCAACAGATCCAAGTGCAAGGTCCAGCACCTGGGTTGGGGCAATCCACATTACCAATACAGGCTGGAGGATGACGTGATAGAGAGCAGCCCTGAGGAAAAGGACTCAGGGGTACCAGTGCACAAAAAGCTGGCCATGAGCCATCCCAGAAGACCAATCACATCCTGGACTGCGTCAGAAGAAGCATGGTGGTTCTCCCCCTCTACTCTGCTCTGGTGAGACCTCACTGGGAGTAGTGTGTCCAGCTGTGGAGCCTTCAACACAAGAAGGACATGGACCTGTTGGAGCAGGTCTGGAGGAGGGCCACAAAAGGATCAAAGGGCTGGAGCACCTCTCTTACGAGGACAGGCTGAGAGAGTTGGGGCTGCTCAGCCTGAAGAAGAGAAGGCTCCAGGGAGACCTTACAGCAGCCTTCCAGTACCTGAAGGGGGCCTACAGGAAAGCTGGGGAGAAACTGTTTACAAGGGTGTGTACTGATGGGACGAGGGGCAATGGTTTTAAACTACAGCAGGGTAGATTTAGATTAGACATTCGGAAGAAGTTCTTCACTGTGAAGTTGGTGGAACACTGGAACAAGTTGCCCAGAGAGGTGGTGGAGGCTCTATCCCTGGAGACATTCAAGGTCAGGCTGGATGGGGCTCTGAGCAACCTGATCAAGTTGACGATGTCCCTGCTCACTGCAAGGGGCTTGGACTAGATGACCTTTAAAGGTTCCTTCCAACCCAATGTATTCTATGATTCTATTATATGATTAAAAAATACCATCGATATTTACATTAGAATCTGGGTATTTAGTAAAAGAATTTGGTTTATGATTTCATGTAAAGCCCGCATGGCTTTAAAAGTCCAACATCAGAATTCTTTGTTGACATTTTTATTGAAGCATGGATCTTTAGCTTGATTCACCATAAAGTGAAGCATTTTATTTATGATAATAGACAGTTTAGGGCTATAGGGGCATTATAACGTTGCTGGTGTAGATACAACTTTATCAGAAGATACAAACATGACCCGCAATAGAAACAAACACCAAAGAGAACACCATGAAACGTTCACTGTTTACAAATCACTTCATTACTATAGACACCAAATGGCAGTTACTGTAAGTAAATCAGTTGCAGAAAACTGACTACATTTAGAAAGGGAATTGGGAACTTCTGTTTAGGGCTTCATCCACAACTCCTTAGTAGAAAAAAGTTTAATGTCAAGCATTCTTTTTTTTTATCCACAAAACAATGCTAACCAACAGACATATCAAAGAATAAGATCGAAGGATATCAATGCTTTACAACTACTTTTGCAATTATCTTCCTGATGATTAGGTACTTTTTTTTTTTAAATACATTTTGTCAGAAGGTAAATAGCCCAAAAATCAGCAGCAAAAATATTACAACAACAAAACAAGTAAATACAGTGCCAGTGTGTCATGTTGTGGAAGAGAATACAAAGAGGACAAACAATGATAACTTATTCATATAAAATGACTCAGCTGAAATACAGTGTGCTTAAATACCTATATGACAAAGAATGTTAAATTCTGTATTTAGCACGTAGGTTTTTTTAAACATAAAATCTGAAAAGTCTTTGTGCTTAAACTTTTTTTCCTGTTAAACAGAACTAGTTGCTTACTTCCAATACTGCCACTGTAACTGATATTACAACAGATCACAATTTTCACAGACACATCAACATTAAAACATTTACCTATGAGAAAATAAGTCACTTCTCATTAGTTCACAGTGCGAAAAAGTGGTATACACTCTGTCTTGAGAAAGGCTTTCAGTTATTCATCAAGCCAGTTGCAGAAAAGTCCTGATACCAGACGCAGTGCTAGATTTAAAGAATGGAAAGCAACACATCACATGTTGGGAGGAAAAAAAATAAATTTCTCGTTTCTTCATGGATATCGTCTAAGTGACCTTCGTCTTCTGTTGTAGAAATGCCTGAGCCCATGTTGCCGTGAAAAATTCATCATGTAATTTTGTTTGCGAGTGCTGTTAAAAGCAAAGGATGGAGGAAGAGTGTCAGTTTCTTTCAAAAGTACTTTAAATTCAGAGAAGTGAGATAGATAGTGGGACAGATTCTTCTTTCTCCTTGCAAGACCTTTCAAGCCTGTGTAAAGTGGTGTAAAGTGCACCCTTTGTACAACAGCAAGGTACAAGGCAATTGAGAATCTGTCCCACTTTGCTTTTGTTTAAAATTCATTGTCTTAGGGAAAGGCTGAGAGCTTTCAGCTAATGAAAACTTCTGTTGCCTAGGGCCAAATTCACTAAACCCGTATGCACTTCATACCCTCTCAATACAGGGCATTTCTCTTCTGTCTGACCTTCTGTCTTCACTGTTTTATCTTGAGAACAGAATCAATTCAGTATCTATCTTCCACTTTTAGCATATAGGAAATGAAGTACAACACATTTATGCAGACTTAACGTTTCCCTCTGTTATAACACCCCCATCCAAAATTAAAGGAATATGTGGGAAATAAGGATCGTCACGGCTGGGAGGAGACCAGGCAAGAGTCAGCCTGACTGCAGCCTAATTGAAGAAGGGACACTTATTCAGAAGACCTATTAGGAAGACAAGACTCTTCCCACCTAACATAGGATTCTACTTCTCCCACTGAGGGAAAAAAGAACCATGAGAAGGCAACGGTGGATGAGACGGCTGTCTGGAACTTCGGTACCTGAAACCCAGCTTACTCCTAAGGGCTGGATCCCACCTTCAGTTTCCAAATTTCAGCAGCTTTGGAACCGGAGCTGTAACATCTGTGGTGCGTCCTTGTCAGTCTACTTATGGCCTATACAGACTTGCATACACCGTTTACATACATATACAAATCCCTGGCACATGCGCACAAATATAGATCTGCACAGATCTACAGCCCAACTGCGTTCAGAATTACGTGAGAATTGTGTATTCTGAAGTTCTGGTAAAGGATATCTCCTCTCAGACCTATAACTTGGAGTGCACTTGGCCAGACGTATAAAGCAGCTGAGATGTCCCTCTTGCATTCTGCACTGTAGCGTCCCAGAGTGTGGGAAAGACCTTTTGACTGGAGAACTACTTTTAAAAATAAAAATACTATACGTAGTGCTTTCAGACTCCAGTTTTTAGAGCCACCTGACCCCATTTCGCCACATGGAAAAATGACATACAAGCTACTCCCATAGATGCAGTCAGAGGATGCAGTTTCATTAAGAGATCACAGCACAGCATTAACTATGCAGACCCCAAGGACAACTCTAACAGGTAGCAGGAGCTTCACCCAGGAGGAACTGCTGGTGACTGTGTGGAAAAAATTTCTTTTTGTTTTCTGGGGAAAAAAGCTGCAAAGTCAGTGAATCTGTGCAGTCTCAGGCTAATTTCTGACTGCCTCTCCTAAGGCTCCTTGTCTGCCTAGGACCTTGTGCTTTCTAGCTTTGTCTCGCAGGTGAGAGAAGGATGCCTGGCCTAAGCATCTCTACTCTAAGGGATTGGATGTTACCAAGACCCTCCAAACCATCAGATTTTGAAGGTGATCTGTCTAGTAAAGGCCTGCAGTGGACATTATGGGCAACAAATCTCCCATTTGTGGGTGCAAGGCAGGTTTTCCTTGTGAGTTTTCTCTGCAAGTAAGGAGTCATACTGTAATCACGCATACTTTCCTCTCTAGTGCATAAGATTATTTTTAGTGAATGTGGCCCTTAGGGAAAAAGGAGTAATTGCATGCTTTGCAAAATACATATGATCCTCCAGAGGCAAAGACAGCTTTTGCTGCAGTATGTTGATTTAATTTAAAAAAATCTTTATTAAAAAATTATACCCTTTTCAAGAGCTAATCTAGAACACAATTGACTAAACTGAGTAAAAGCAGTTGTGTCAAAATCTAGGTTATAAACTCCAAAGTGAATCTAAGTTGCTTCCCAACCGGTTTTCCAAGACGTTGCAACTTTTTTTTACTTTTTTTTTTAAACTTTTTTTAAAAAACTTTTTTTGCCACTGGAATTTACATACAAGAACGAAACAAAGTCCAGCTCTTGGTGACAATGAAAGCAAACACATCTACACTTGGCACAACTTCTAGCATTTTCACAGTAGGGCAGAGCTCCAAAGCATTTGGCAATTGAGAGAGGGGTTAATGTTTGAGGTTGACTTGCCCTGGCTTTCACTTGACTTCTTCAAGTGAAAAGGAAAGGTCTGTGCTGATTTGTAAGAGTTTTATGTGAGAGAGTGACAGTGCTGAGTTTATATAGTTTTAATGATACTTGGTAGCTCAAGCACAAAGAAGCACTAAAGATCCGTCTTTATTATGTTCCTAAAGTCATCTCAACGGAGTATTGCCCTTGCTCCAATGCCGAGTGCCTCACTGAGGAAGGCAGGAGGGAAAACGCAACCCTGAACCTGCTCCTCAAAGCAGCTGCTGTTGGTCATGAGGTTTGAAGGAGGTCTTAATCTTGTCTTCCCGCCTTTAAGGAGGTCTTAATCTTGCCTGAGAAATGGGTGGTTCCTTAGACACAGGGCCTTCCAGGTGACATCCCACCTCTCAGGAGCACATCCTAACCATGAAGTGGGGATGGGCCACCTATCTGCTGGGAGAAGGCTGCGCTGCAGACAAAATACAGGAGACAGGGGCCTGGCAGAAAGCACAGCCTAACTTTGAGTGGCCTCGGTCTACATGGGACCAAACAGAGCCTGTTATGGGATTTGTCTGGAAAAATTGCCATTTCTGGATCTACTTAAATTTAGGATTAAGCTTGGCTGTGAAAGCCTCACCTTGGGCAAGCCTTGGATGGCTGGGGCACATGCTGAGCTTAAGTCTTTGGCCCAGGGGTCCTTGTGTTCCCCTGTCTCCTTCCTGCCTTTGCTCTGCCCACATTCAACAATGGCTCAGCAGAGATTTTCAGGACTTATTTTGAACACTACCAAGTACACCTGGCCTCTATTTCTTTTCAAATGCCTAACCATTTTGCATCTGACCTTAAAGTTATGATGAAGATGTTTAAAACAATGAACAAAGAAAAAAAAAGAAAAAAAAGAATTGAAAAACAGAACAAAGAAACTTAAGGGATTTACTTATTTTTTTTGTATATCATTGTTTTCTTATTTCATAAGATGATCAAGAAGTTGCAGAGAAACATATTTATGTCTTATACAACACCAGAGCAATGCAGTGTGCAAAAAATAAGAGAAATATAAATTCTCGAGAACTAAATGCTTATTTTTTTTACTTGCACTGACATAGTTCAAACATGTCCTCATTGATGTCTGAGATAGATTTTCAAACTGCTGTTTGGATGCCATAGAAAAACTTCATGCCAGCTGTAGAAAACAGCGTGGTTTTCACTCTTGCTACAGTTAAATATGCACACCCTACGTGTTGTAGTGTCTTGTATAGTACGTATAGTCTGATATCCACAAAATCAGAGTAGGTCTATATTTATTTTTCTGAATTGCTTTTACATATTTTTAGGAGGCAAGCACTGTGTAAAAGAGATCAGTCTTGCTTTTTAAGATCACATTGAGAATTATACAATATAATTTGCAGGAGTACTTATGTATTTTTTGCATTCGGTGGATTAAAGAATGCTTTCAATACTATTAATAACAGATTTAATTTGCATTTTCATAGTCTAGTGAAAGGCTTTACTGTACTTTTGCTCTTTTCTTGTTCTGAGCACCCAGAATGTTCTGAGCAGCATCAAGCTATATTAAAGAGTAGACCCCCCTTCCATAATGGAGGATATGGAGGGAACTTTTGTTTGGATATCAGTAGCAACTTGAAGGCTGCTTTGCAAGCAGGCAGTGGACTGGACAGCATCTGCTGAGCCTTCTGCCTTTTTTGTGCATTCACTGAACTGTCAGTGAGGCAGGAAGTACACATCTAAAATAGTTATTTGCGTATTGCTGATGGAGCAAATAGCAACAGAAAACCAGTAAGAGCAACTACTGCATAATCTGTTTGACAGTTTTGAGTGAATTAATAAAAAATAACCAGAAGATTATACTGCTTCAATTTATGTAAGAAACTAAATAGCTTTCCATTGAAGTCACTGGAGTTATAGTTGTTAGATGAAAACAATATGCAGCCAATATAGAAGGTCACAATTCTATCTAAGGCATGTTCAGTAAATTCCTACACTAAAGCATTTTATGAGAAGGAGTCATTCTGGGTCTTTAGTATTTAACAGAGCATTCTGGCTATTGCATGTTTCCTAAAGCACAGTTTGAACTGCAAGTCTGCAGTTTAGAATTTATTAGAATAGAGCATAGCCAAGTGGAATTAAAAATACACAGTAAAAAACCTCAGTATATACTAATGTAGTTCATTATTTCTATGTTTTTATGTGTAATTGACAGGGCACAAAAGGAACCAAATAGAAACAAAATATTTGGATAACAAAATGAAACATGAACAAAGCCTTAGAAAACAACAAAGGCATGTCTCTCAGGAGTAAGCTTGGTGTACGTTTTGAGGCTGAATTTCAAATGCTTTGTTAGGAGGGTACTATAACAAGAGAAATTATGTGCTCTAACTGAAGTCCTGATGGGTCGTATCAGGGCCAAATGTTCTTTGGCATCGGTGAGGTCAAGATTTGAACACAGAGCTTAAGAACTAGGTTGGTTATTGGTTTCTCTTAACTGCGACAGCACAAAGCAGCTGTTATAAGAAACAACTACCTGGGAGAAACCTGCTGTGTCTAAGGGGCGTGCATGGCCATGACACCATGCAGAGTCACCGACATAAGCTGCCTGACTGTGGCTTCAGCTCTGTGGTCATTATTTACGGAAAGAAGTGGGAATTCCCTCTTGGAGCCTAAAGGACACCCGTGCAAGGCGCTGGGTGCCCTCCGTTGGCAGGTCTCATTGCACCGCAGGAGAAGGAGAAGTCCTTCTCACCGTAGCCTCAGTGAAATTCCCACTGCAGAATGGGGCGAGCTGCAAACACTTTCTGCGGAGTTCATCTTCCCCCAGTGCTCCCTCAGGGCCCCCACGGCACGTCTGAGAGTGCAAATCATTTTCCACGAACCCGTAATTGACAAAACTTTGTGAAAGAGCTGTAGCTGTAACTGAAACATATATTTGATATTGATTCAGAGAAAGTACTTACCTTATTCTAGTGTAAAACCAATGACAGCAAACAATGAAATACAACACAAGTTAGAAAATGCCTTTCAATGCATGCAGCACTGTGATTAGTCATAAAACCCTGATGAGGTTTAGAGGCAATATAGGACTTTTCATCTCTTTTGAAAATAAAAATTGAACAAATTACTTCCTGATATTTCAAATCAACGTTTACATTTTTATTTTCTACAAAATTCAGCATGCACTTTTAAGAAACATAATAAAAATGTCATAAAAATACAGACCGCATCATATTAAATTTGGCATAAATGTTCTGAATATTCAGATAATTACCCAATGTCTGAACTATTCCTCTTCTTTATAATAAATATGTTGATACTTTAATTTCAATGCATTTTTCAAATAATTGCTTTTTACTAAAGAAAATGAAGCAGATGAAAATGCTTTTCCACATGGGCACTTGTTAGAGCTAGAATCTATAATTTGTATTTTAATGTTGCAGAATAAGGATAAACATTTATTGCACCAAATGCAACGTAAGTTCTCACTAAATCATTTGTGCCAAAAAGGTGAGAATATCTTGACAATGAAGAGCATGAAGTGATGGCTATGGAGGGATTTATTCTGTTACCCAACAGTTTACCATAAAATAGTAGGTGGGGATAAGATTTCTTGCATTCCTTGCACAGCTCAAATTCCTCTGGATCACATCACAAGTTTTGGGGTGCAAAGAAAGCAACGTCAGACCCTTAGTGTTCACGTTATCACTAGCCTTGAATTCTCAATACCTTTGACCAGCATTGAGTTTATCAGAGGTCTATAAGGGCCTGCCCTATACACAAAGAAATGGCAATTCCAAATGCACATGCAAAAAAGTGTGTGGTGTCTGTGCGCAGACAGGCTGAGAGCTGTGCTTCCAGAGAAAAACAATGTGCAAATGAAATGCAGAATTAGACATGGGCTCTTCTTAGGGCAGAGGTACTAGGGCACAGAAGAAAACTCTCTCTTAAGTCTCAGGTAAAATGCTTTTTTTATCCTAAGAAGAGCCACATGTAACATGTAAGAGTTGTGCCCAAAGCTGTCTTTACGAATGGAGGGAGAAAATGCTGCACTATCAAGGAATAATTGGTACTAGCTTTAAAAGGACTGGACAACCTGACAATTAGTATCCTCTCTGCACCACAGGATAGACATCAGCTGTTGTTAATACAAGTTGGCAAACGATTAGCTGACAAGATCAATTTAATGTATAACATAGTCGAACTGTTTCACCTGTTCGAAAGACGTGCTCAGGTTGAGCACTATTTGCAGCTGCAAATCATGGTCTTAATGGTACTGCTTTTTAATGAGTGATTCAATTAATTCATTCAAAAATAGAATAATTTTAAGTAACATACAAAAGCATCTATTTTTGGCCTTTCTTAGCACTGCCAGGTATTTTGCATGCCAGTTAATTGTTTATTTTTACATTTTTTCCCCTCAGAAAACAATCTTGCGAGCAGAAAGGAAACAAAGAAATTGCACCCTGAAAATGTGTTTGCTGATGAGAGGATAATGGCACTTGACTCAAAAATCAATTGGACTGAACAGAAGTGTCATGACCTTGGCTGTGCATCAGCTCTAAGTGGTATCTGCACTGTGACTTGGGCCTGTGACAGAATTAATATCAAATATTTGGCTTGCTAAAAAGAGTTGAGCCATGAAAGCAGGTATTCATAGATCTGTCCCTGGAGTGAGCAGTGTAGGTTGGAGCACAGACATCCCCGTGTTGGGTGGGAAATGAAATCAAGAAAGTCTTTGGCTGTGCTACACACCAGCTCTTTCTGCTGGCAGGTGCTTTCCTTGCTCACTCTCTTATTCCAGCCCTTAGTCTGCTCAAGTGGAGCATGGCTCACTCACCCAAGGGCCAAAGAAAAGCTAACACAGCACCTAAGTGTGCAGCCAAGCCTGGGGCATCTGGGCTGAGCCTACAGGTGCTGGAACCACAAGATTTTTTATATGTCTCTATGTCTCAAACCACACTTCCTAGTATAGGTCAGCTTCTTGCTGTAGAACCTCACAGGCTAGAGGCTTGCCTGCTGTGTAAATGTGGATACACATGGAAATCTAGGACTTAAAGGCAGGGCCAGTGAGGAAAATTTCGATGCTGCCCATTGAGGTGTATGGAGTCTCATTCAGGTGGGTGCAGGGTTGTAAGAGGACTGAGCACAGACCACGTTAGACACGGACCATCAACAGGTCCTGTAGCCAAGGATATTCATGGCTTTCTGAGACAAGGTCAGAGTGCCAACAGGAATTACATCCAGTTTGGGAGGCACAGATGATTCCTAAGGTATCCCAGCTTTGGGAGGAATAAGCCAGGCAGAAGCCCACTGACTCTCTGGTGACTCCCTATAGAATTAGTGAGAAGAGGTAACTGCAGCACCCTGGTGAACGAGCTGAGTTCCGGCCACGCCTCTCAGCAGCCCCGTCAGAGAGCCCAGGGGTGGCTGCTGCCGAGAGAGCTCTCCTCTGACAGTCTCGGTAGGAGGGCAGAGCACCCGGGGGATGCTTGCAAATAAAACAGAAGAGGCCTACAGAATATTTTGATGAATTAGGAGCGGCAGATAGAACTTAAGCAAAACAGAGGGGTCGAAGCCACCTGTCAGGTATCAGCACGTGCCAGCATGTGAGCCAGATGTGCCACAGCATGTAATTCTGCCTTTCCTCAGAGCAGCATGTCTCACTTGTAATTAGCAGGGACTGGAACTCCACATCTGGCCTTTGGGAAATATGCTGCCATGGTACTGCATTTCACAGGACTTGGGAAGGGAGAAGTCTGTATAGTTTGGTCTTTCTTCCTTTGTGGGTTGTACCAGGTGTCACTTGAACAGGTTGGAAACTCTCTGTTTCTAGGCTGATATTTTGGCCAATATTCATAAGGGCCTTAAAGCTCTTAAATGGGAGAAAAAGAAGAGAAGGGAGGAGGCACTGTGCCCGTCTGGTTCTATTGCAGTCTCCATTCTTGTATAACATCTCTCATATGAGTGACTTGTCACCACTGAACTTGTTTGTTTGGTCTACAGCAGATCTCATTGTCAAGGAATTTCATCATATTTCATCCTAAGAATGACTTTTAAAAGATCTATTCCTACTTATACTCCCTAGTTCAGTGCTCAGATTGACAGGCAATATTATGCTCCTTTTTTTTTTTCTGACCTGATTTTTCCTTTTTAGTTTTTTTTTAATTGCAAGGTGGAAAGACATGGGAGTATTTCAGAACTACCACTTCCTTTTGCAGTGGTTTCCTAAACACTGTAAACGTCCTGCAGATTCACTCTTCCATATGTTTCCTGATGCAGCATCATACAGCCGTTGATTAACTAAGCTAAGAATCACATCATCCCTCTGTTCCTTCAAGTTTTAAGCTTAATGTTATGGAAGCAGAGCCCAGCAAGGTGTGTAAAAGCAGCAGAGCATGTACAGTTACTCAGTGTTGGGACCAGTTTGGTTTGGGGTTGATATGAGTGCCATGCAAGCTGGTGCTTCTTGGTGGAAAGAAGAACAGGGCTAACTAGCAATCAGATAATTAACTTTGCTACTGTAACAAAACATTACTTGCGGTGTCTCTGCTAATTCAGAAACCTCATGGTTATATTTACACAGTCTGGAGGTTATCCAAGCCTAATTTCTTCATTGCTGGTTTTTAAATTGTTCAATAAAAGGAACCTTTGAACCTATCTATGGAGCAGGCACGCCTCTCTCTGCCAACCACTGTCAGCGATGAGTTCCCGCCCGTGAAGCCACTAGCATTTCACTGCTACTGGAACTAAATTGTTAGAGAAAAAGCAGGTCATCTCTTTGTGACATAACACAGGAAAAACGGGTTAGCTGCCAGCGAAACCCATCTCAAGAATGGGAGAATCAGGAAGGTGCAGACACTTTACTTGGTAGAATCCTGACAAGGGGATGAATATAGAGCTTGGACCATAGGAACCTGATATAGTGAACCCTGTTTCTGAACAGTATCCTTCTTACTAAAAAAAGGAAATGAATAAGGCATTAGTTGCTAACACAAATTTTTCAGAGGCACAACAACATTACTTTGGGCAAAGAGCAATGCAGCAGATTCTTTTGTATCTTCAAAAGGATATAAATCAGCCTTACATGGCAGCACAGCATTGAGCAAGAATATTCTTATGTCCCAGCACAATATTTTTTTCACAGTCATTGCTGCATTACAGGACCACACTAACACTTGGTGGTGATAAAGCCCCACTTTCCCTCCTACATTTTTCCATGATGCACAAGACATACCCCTCTTACGCCACTTATTTTGTGGCTCTCTTAACCACTGACAGAAGCGGTCGGGGCAGGGCATTAGCAAAGACCGGCTCTCAAAGGTTTCCCTAGGCCGCAACACTTCTTACTGAGCTTAACACTCATGCCATGCTGGAGGAGTTTCAGTGCTTTCAGAGATGGGTGGGATGAGGTGAAGCTGATACTCACAGGACGACTTCTACGTGGTCCAAAGCCCACTGATCATGACCTGTTCCGTTGTGACGGGGCTGCCACCAGCGCAGTAAGACTCCTTTCATTCGTGCCTCCCTGTCATCACAAACACAAGAGCCTGTGAGAGCTCCAGACTATCAGTGATTTTCACATCCCTATCTAGCCCTCCCAGGAACTGTGAGCAAAGTCAAAGCATTATTTCTACATCCTTGATCATCAACACACCGTTCGTGCAAAACATTTAATGCTGAAAAATGCACAGAGATAAAGAGGAATATTTTTGTTCTTCATATCTTTAAAACAAGTATTCTGTTTTCCTTTCAAGTATATTAATAAACACTAGGCTGGAATTTCTTAGTTAGTCTATCTCTTAAGTCTTCTTCTTTGTTTACTGTCTCATCAACCTTTTTCTTGCACAGTGATGCAAAGATAGATTGGTTCCTAGGAGAAATATATCTTATGCATTTAGAGGTAATGAAACGTGACTGAGTACTCACAGGGGAACATTATAAGACACTCTTTGGGCTTGTATAAAGTCCTTTGGCTGATGCTGTGCAATTACTTGCCATGTAATTCCATTATTTACACTGTATTGGAGGAGCACTGCCTTGTCTACAGTGTTAGGATCACTCAGATTGGTATTGCAACTGTCTGTTTGTGAAATGCTTCCGATTTGCAAAACAAACATGATTTTGCTGTAAAACATAGAGAGAAAAGGTATTTTCAATATGCAAGAAGTATTCAAACAGGAACGATAGCATTTCTAGGTTTACTGCAGCTACCTTATTAAAACCTTGAGCATTCTCAAGAAACATTGCATTTAACATGCAAAATAAACCATTCTCACATTTGTAAAACATAGCGCCCTTTTCAAACGAATAGTTTACTATGGATAACATATTGACATATAGTTGGAGGCAACCGACAAAATTTTTCAATGTATCTGCACAAAACTGAGACACATAAACAATATAAACATCCATATGACTGTATGAAAAGCTAAAAAAGGGTAAATAAATGTTGAATATAATAAAATGCCTAAAAGATTTATCATATACTACCTGGGTGATCAAATAACAAAGGAAGAGTCTGATTTCTATCTGGCCCACTTGCTAGTTCATCCTGTTTCTAATCTTGCTTTAGACAGCTAAATACAAACCAGTCCAGAAAGCTGTCACTCTGTTAAGAGCCAGCACGGGCTGGCTGCATTTATTTTTCCATGGCCGAAGAGGCTCAATAGATGAAAAAGATACTCTGTTCATTGCCAGGGGAATATAATTCTATTTGACAACTGAAACAGCAAAATGAGTCTGTAATTGCTAACAGCATCTTTAGTCATAACTGTCGTGGAGGCACATACAAACATGGGATTTGTCTTATCAGATCAGGCACTGGTCCAGATAGTCTGGTGTCCAGTCTTTGCCAACAGCTTCATTGTCAATGCTGGCTTACTAGAGAATGCTCTGTTGGGCATGACGAAAACATTTGACCTTTTCATCTGACTGGGCTTCCTCCTGACTCTCCATCTCCCAAATGGAAATCATAAAGCCTTTTGCCAACCCTCATGTTTATCTGCTTGCCACATCTGACTGCATGGTACAGCCAGATCAGTACTGGCCCACATGGCTGCATGTACATATGAAGAGTTTCCTTTCTCATGGGCTGCTAAAAGAGCATTTTAGGCTCAAAGTATTACCTTGCTCGGGTGAGATCCAGAGGCTTAGTCACAGCTTGTCGTATTTGACATCCATTAAAATAGAGTGAATCTCCATGGGCGTACGGGGCCAGCTGTCCGCATCCATTCCCTATTACTCCCCCCTGAATGGTTTCCCAGTTTATTTCAGTGACTCTTTCAGATTCAAAATTATCTTTAATGTAACTGGGGAGGTCATGGCTGAAAACAGAGCAGTCGTCACCTGGAAATGACACAGTGAAGATACAAAACACATAAATATTGGAAGAAAGGAGAAAATTTGAGTTACAGTTCATTTTCATTCCATTCAAGGTTGTGGCCCCATATACAGTGTGGCTAGAGGCTGAATATATTTCAGTATTAACATGCACATTGCTGTACAGCATTCATTTTTAGAAATTTGAGGCTGTTAGTCTTTTTTTTTTTACAGCAGTATAACTTGGATAACTGTAGTGTGGTTTCCTGTATTTTGCATTGATGCCGATATGAGAAGACTCAAATTGCCAGCTGAAGGGAAATGCATCTAAAACAGGGAAGGGGTCTGATCTCACAAAGTTATGAGATGATCTCCTGGAAGACATTAAACACTGGCTCCACTCCCGCAAAGCACTTATAATTTAACAAGGGCACTCAGTTACCATTAGGCACGTGCTTAGCTGCATTGAGAGATTAGAGCAGGACACTGTCCTGATGTGGCATGGAACTGAGTCCTTTACAAGTGCCAGCCACCAACATCTGGATCCCATGTACACGTCTTCCAGGAGTGGGTGCACCCTTGGAAGGAGTACAGAGGTGGAAGCCATTTCTGGGTAAGCAGGTAGCTGTGTTCTGCCTTCAAGGCTTTACATACAGTGCCAGATAGGAGAGACTGCTGGCACAATCCAGAAAGAGTAAAGGGAGGCAAGAGCTGCTATTTGCAGCAATTTAGAATTTGTTACTCAAGCATTGCAGTGATGAATTTAGACATGACACACCACTCTTTTTGCTTAATTTTGAGCTAGATTAGACTGTTGCAGATGTATGAGAAAGACATTGTAGAAATGAAACCTTGGTATCCTTCGTCACAAATGCAAATGGCTCCAGTGGTACAATATCCGCGGCCACTGCAGAGCTTAGGGCACGCTTCCCCGATGTACACGTGGTCGATTGCCCAGCTTTGTTTCTCTAGTTCTTCTCCCTTCTGAATCCACCTGAACTGAGTTGCACTGCAAATATCAAAATCCAAACCCCATATTATGACATCTAGTGATTAAACACATTTGTACAGTGGCATTCAAATACACCATCAGCAGATGTAATGAAAAATGTTGTATGAAGGAGCTGTGACTTCAATAACTGGAAAGACCCAGCCTGAATGGGTGCCTGCTACATCATCGTCAGCAGACATTTCTATTAACAAAAAGCTTCCTGAAATCAAATCCAAATCCGGCAATAAAGTAGCATTTTTAATTCACCAGTTTTTCCAAGTGAACAGTGCCAGAAAAACGGCTGATATTTTACAGGCCCAGAGTGAGCTGACCTTTCAGTAACTTACCTGGATGAGACATGATCAGGCAGCTGGATGGTTATTCTTCTCCACATGGAGCTGTTGACAGAGTTATAGATGGTAGCTTCATGGAACTGAAAAGGGGAGCAGCCAATACTATTAGATGAGGAGGGAAGACAGTGTGTCTGGACGAGCTGCCACGAGTCTGTCCTGTAGGAAACAAAAAATACAGTTTAGACCAACTGAAAGAATAATGAAAGGGAAACAGGTAATTTCTAAGGGTCATGGCATTGCCTTTCTTACTAAACAAACCCAGGAGATTGGCAGCAATAGTTTCCATGCTCTGTAGCCACAAATAGACAAGAGTGAGAGGCTGAAGTGCTGGTGCAGCCAGGGAGGACTTTCCAGCACCAGGTTTGAGTGCTTTGAAACCCTTGGTGTTGGCGCACACAGCAGAATCCGACCCAGAGCTCCTCTGTGCTGGCGTGACAGAAGGATTTCATTACGAGTCTGCTCCTTAGTCTCTCTTTTACAGTGTTCAGGAAAAGTCTTACAGAATTTACTCCATGTTTACCTATGGTCATTTGAGCACAGAATATACCTTCACTTTTACGAATTATAGTGCACTATTCTACTGCAGCACAGGAGACAGTGTTATTAATTGTTTGCTAGTTAAAGAGCAAATTGAATGAAGTAACCTTCACTTTGTTACAGCTTGGTCCTAAATACCTAGTCCTGGATCACACTAAGACAACAGTTTCCTGTGAATGTAGTTTTCTATGAGCAAATTTTAACAGGAGCCTGCTGATGACTGTAGCCCCAAGCTCCATGCCATGAATCTATCAACGTCTGGGATAAATTATAGAGAATTTACAGGCGTTATGTAGACAAATCCCAGTGCTTGCAAATGGGCTTTGTTCAGATCCTGTTACAAGATGAATAGCTAAGTAATTGCTTTAATAAATGAAAGCTCTCTAGGTTTTTAATATCACACTACTATTTTTTTTAGGCTTGTATATTCTGCTGTCATTTACCTGGCATCCTTCGTATACTCCAGCATCACAGAGTGAAGGTCTCCACAAGAAGTTGCTTCACAGCCAACAACAATCTATAGCACAAATAAAACTGGCTGCTATAACAAGTCAGGTAGACATTTAATATGATAGATAATAAAGTCTTGCTCTCCTTTTATTTCTTTACGGGGCGTATAAAATCCATCAAAATTGTGTGGAAAGCAAAAGATGCAGGACTTTAGATAACTGCTTTTACTTAAAGAATTTTACTTCATTGTTACTGTTATTTTCAAACAGGAGCTTTACACTATATTCTTAAGGTTCAAATTAAATACCCAAACAAATATTGTTTCTGAAACACAAAGATGTGGTAACTCCTTGGTATTTCAGAAAGTGAAGTACCTAAATATGTATTAATTGCCTAAGAAATTTATAATTCATAAAGATAAATATGTGGATATAAACTTCAAGTCAATCCAATTTAAGAAGAGAATTATTCTGAATACTTAAAACAATAAACATTTGTGTCATTAGAGTGGAAAGATTACAGTACCCAGTATACATTACTGAAAAGATACCAAAAACCTAAATTTTAAGGGCTTCAAAACCAAATGTCAGCCACGCACTAGAGCTGAGTTCACAGTTTAGAAATAAAATCTTTGCTGTGACTGATGAAGAAAAAGGAGGAGAGAGTCAGGTGAGAACAACTTTGCAATGAGAGTTTAGTAGTATGAACTATTAAATGTGGATGAGTTATCATAATTTTGGTCTTAAATAGAGAAAAAAGATGATAGGCTAGGTAGAATAAGCAGCATGGGAGGTCCTGGCATTCGGTAGTAAAAAGCATGTCAGACTCATAATTTCTCTGAAGGTGGCATGCTTGTGAGGGGGGAAGCAGTGCTTTAGGGATTATATTAGACAGTCAATATAAAATAGGCAACAAAGTTGAAAAAAGGTGAAAATATTGATTAATGGAAGATGGAAGATTCTGGAACTGTTATGTCAAACAGAAGAGGCATAAGAAGAAAATAGATGACTATTTTGATAATTCTGTTTTCACATTGGTTCCTGGCTTATTTAAGATGTGGTGCTTAGGGACAACAACTAATGTTGCCTTTGGCCCTGTGCAGAGTTCTACTTTAAAACAAAGTAAAATATTTAGAAACGTTTCTCTGATTATTTTGATCATTTGTAAATAAGTAGAAGGGGTATTTCTGCTTGAACACTTTTGCATTTTCCATATGCTGCTCTTCTCCAGCCTGCCTCTATCTTGTCTTTTCTTCTTATTCATGAGTTAGGGGGAAAGGACATACTCTGCATTCTGTGTATTCTCACTTTGGAAAATAGTTCCTGCTGTACCTGATGAGCCAGTAATTTCAGGAAAAATGGATTAGACTTTCGGTCCCTCTCAGTAACCCCCAAAGCATACAGACAGTCAGAATAATTTGACATTTAACATTCATGCAACCTTTCTGGTTCCCATTACCTACATTTAAGAATTTCTTTCAAATTCTAATAAGAGATCATTATTAATTATTCATCAAATTTGGCATCCTAGTAGGAAGACACATTAGATGATTTTTCATTGCATGCTTTACTTTGGAGAGAGAGAACATTTCTTACTTTAAACTGCATCATGTATCCTGGCTGTATAATGAGCTCCCTGGAGGACAGGATGTTGTGTGTTTTGTCCTTTTTCTTATTTGGCCAGTAGAGATGGAATGATGGATTTCCACAGAACCCTGCAGTCCTGACTGCATTAGGGTAAAAACTCCAGTTTTCTTCATGAGAGGTACCTTCTATTAAGATGAGTTAGATACAATTATTGTCTCAGTTAACATCAAAGCTTAGTAATGAATCCACAGAATCACTATATACAGTACTTTAGTGATAAAACCACCAAATTTATGTTATCTGTTGTGACACACAGTAAGTAAACTACTAACAGATGTACTAAAAACATCAGCCTCAAAGAGGTAATTAAAATGTTTAAATAACTGCTTTTGAAAAAGATTATTACATAAACCTTTACTACCAGGAATTTAAATGAAATTAGTTGAAGTAATTGTTTTTTGCCTTTCTTATACATATATACATATATATATGCACACGTACATATCTTAATATACATGTATATATATTTACACATCTCTGTTAGTAGCATGAAGAATAGCATATACACAGCATTAGTCTACAGAATGAAAAATTTACAGAGTTAAAAAAAGAGAAACCAAACACTCTGCTTGCAAGCTCGTAGGGCTTATCTTAGATAAGATAATGCCAGGCAACAGATTAGCTGTCACAGCCTGTCTTACCATCATCAAACGTATCTACCAGCTGGCTGGGGTTGATCTCTGCTCCTCCGATCAGGATGTTATCCAGCGCCCACTGCGCTCGGTCGGGGCCTGAAACCACGATCCCGTTGCTGATGGTAAAAGGCTGCCACCAGCGCAAACGGGTTGTATTGGTCAGAGCGTGTTCGGGGAGGAGGATGTAGTCATGCCTGACTGAGATGTACTTTTGGTAATCCATCTCGTGAAGTAAAGTCCATGATATCCCTAGAGTGAAAAGGTGCAGGTTTAGTAAAAAAGAAAACAAAACAACCACCAATGTATGGTAGAATCTTCTAAAAGAAAAAAGAAAGATGGTCTTCTGATATATAAATCTTAACTTCTAAGAGTAGTTGGCAACCGTTACTCATTGCAAGAATAGTCTTGTAATTGTATAAAGGAGTTAAACTAGCCAGAAGACATTGATTGCTGAAATCAGGTAGAAGGATTATAGGAAACTCTTGAGTAACAGATGAAAATTAGATGGGGGAAAAAACTTTACAAGGACAAAAATTTTGCAATTAAAGTTATCTTATTATTTTTGATCCCTTTGACAAGGTCTCAAATATTCATGGTGCTTGAATACAAAACAAAGCTGAAGCTGCAAGATGTACTTGCCTCCATCAATGGAATAGTCTAGCAGCACTCCCTCCTTTCTGCAAGTTGGTCTGTGGCATGTTGTCATGTTGTTGTCACTCCCAATTCTTCCCCAGTACTGTAGAAACCTAAGAGTGTATAAGTTTACACATATTAAAGATCTGCACAAAGTTTGCATATGAAATTTGCTTTCTCTTGGGAGATGTGTTGAAAATTATCAAAATGCTAGCATTTTTAAGCAAGTAACATCGATGTGCAAGTAGTACAAAGGTTTCCAAAACCATTGCCTGGTAATTCTCATGAGAACCTCATGAAATTCAGCAAAGTCCTGCCCCTGGCAAGGACTAACCCCTTGCAATGGTACTGGCTTGGGACTGACTGTCTGGGAGCAGCTTTACCAACAGTTCCCTGGGAGTCCTGGTGGAAAGGAAGCTCAGCATGAATTAACAAGGTCCCCTTTTACCAGCGAAGGACATAAAAGAAGCTGATAAACTGAGGAAAGGTCAGTGGAGGCCACTGAAATGGTCAGGACTGGAGTTTGTGCCTTATGAGGAGAAGGTGAGAGACCAAGGTTGGTCCAGCCTGTGGAAGATGGCTGAAGCTGGGAGACAGTGGTCATACATGGAAAAAAGGGACGTTTGGACTCAATATAACAGTGGGGGACAAAATAAATCACTGTAACGGTAACTCAGCACTGGAACAAACTGTCCAGAGAGACTGTGGGATCTCCGTCCGTGGAGCTTTCTCAAGAGCCAATGGGACAAAGGCCTGAGCGACCTGATCTGAATTCAGTTTTGATCTGGCTTTGAGCATGAGGCTAGACTGGAGACTCCCCGAGGCCCCTTCCTTCCTGAAAGTTTGTGTGATTCAGCAAGCTCTTGCTGAATTACAGAAGTGAGAGTGTGTGGCTTCATTAAAGCCATACAGCCACGGGAAATGGTGCTGAAGCTGTCTTCTACCTCATGTCTTTACCTTATCTAAACTGACATAATTCCAGTTAAGTCATCATTTTCTACAGCATGTGAGTGGATTAGGTCTTGTAGGGGCACTCAAGAGAGGACGAACAGCTGAGGTCACATTCTGAACTCAGTGGGAGACTCAGCTGGTGCCTCCAGGAGTGGAGACAGTGGTATCTCGTCTCTTTGCAGGACAGGCTGCTGCTTTACTTGGACATGGTAGACCCTTTCTACTGTGTTAGGGTGAGCCTTGCTTTCTGTGACTCATCTGAAAGCCTCAGTGCCTTGAGAACCATAATCTCACTAGTGTCTACTCGAGATAGCCCTTTGCTTCTGGTGGCCTAGGAATTCATTGGGCTACAAGCTATATTGCCTGCTGCTTTGTCAGTTTTTTACAGAGACCCCCATTAAAATGACATGGAAACATGACGTACTTTGCCCCCCGCAGGTCCAGATCTTGAGTGACAGCCTGTCTCACGGTTGCACCTCCAAAATAGAGAGTTGTGTCTTCTGCAAGGATCCCACACTCGGTACAGGTGTTTCCACCTTCTAAGGACATCCATAAATCTGGTTTAATTTCTTCATTGTCAAAGCGCTCTTTCAGGAAAGTCTGTAAACAAAGTGTTTAACATAATGCAGGTAATTATGATCTTAAGCCTTTCTGATAACCACAGCTGGAACTGAATGTTTGAAGGGCTCATGAACACTGTAAAAAATTTTTTTAGGGTGGCTGAACGTAATCACTTCTAGCTAAACATTTTGCCACTTGAACTGAATTGGCTAAATGTGAAAATATGTTAGGGCTAGATTTTAACATACTTGGGAGGTAATCCAACACACTAAAATTTGCATGTGCAAATGAATGGGTGTATTGGATTTGCATAGCAAGGCTTTGACAGTGGGTGTGATACAGGGATGGCTTCTGTGAGAGGCTGCTAGAAGCTTCCCCCATGTCTGATAGAAGCAATGCCAGCCAGCTCCAAGTCAGACCCACTGCTGGCCAAGGCTGAGCACATCAGCGACGGTGGCAGTGTCTCTGTGAGAACATATTTAAGAAGCGGTGAAAAAAAAAGCGCAACAGCAGCTGGAGAGACGAGTGAGAATATGTGAGAGAAACAACTGTGCAGACACCAAGGTCAGGGGAAGGAGGTGCTCCAGGTGCCAGAGCAGAGATTCCCCTGCAGCCTGTGGTGAGGACCATGCTGGGGCAAGCTGTCCCCCTGCAGTCCATGGAGATTAATGGTGGAGGAGATACCCACCTGCAGCCTATGGAGGACCCCACACAGGAGCAGGTGGAAGCCTGAAGAAGGCTGTGACCCTGTGTGAAGCCTGCACTGGAGCAGAATCCTGGCAGGTCCTGTGGACCTGTGGCAAGAGGAGCCCACGGTGGGCTGGCAGGACTTGTGACCCCTTGGGGGACCCATGCTGGAGCAGTCTGTTCCTGAAGGACTGCAGCCCATGGAAAGGACCATGCTGGAGCAGTTTGTGAAGAACTGCAGCCCATGGGAAGGACTCACATTGGAGAAGTTCACGGAGGATTGTCTCCCATGGGAGGGACCTTATGCTGGAGCAGGGGAAGAGTGTGAGGAGCCCTTGTGCTGCAGAGGAGGGAACAGCAGAGACAGTGTGTGATGAACTGACTGCAACTCCCATTCCCTGCTCCCCTGTGTTTCTGGTGACAAGGAGGTAGAGAATATTGGGAAAAAAGTTAAGTCCAGGAAGAAGGGAGGTGTGGGGAGAAGGTGTTTTAAAAATTTGGGTTTATTTGTCATTATCCTACTCTGATTTGATTGGTAATAAATTAATTTCCCCAAGTTGAGTCTGTTTTGCCTGTGACAGTATTTACTGAGTGATCTCCCTGTCCTCATCTTGACCCATGAGCCTTTTGTATTTTCTTTCTCCTCTCTGGGTGATGAGGGGAGTGACAAAGCAGCTTTGGTGGGCATCTGGAGTCCAGCCAGGGTCAACCTCCAATGGATCTAATTCCTAACTGTGGTTGTTTAACACTGCTCCAGTACATATCTAGTATGTATGGGAGAATCTGCTATTCTGTATTTTTACTCATCAAAATCAGTACTGCTATGAAAATTTAGGATTATTGTAGTGAAGATGCATTAATACAACTGTCTGCACAAATATTTGCAGTGAAAACCATCTAGAATGCAACAGTGATTTCCACTTACCTCCAAGAGTGCAATAAAAGCAATGCCATGAGTGAAATCCTGGCATTAAGAGGATGGTTATAAAACTCCCCTAAGATTGCTAAGATTTTATCTCAAATGTCCTTAATATGAAGAATACATTACTAATTCAGAATTGCAAACAGATAATTATATTTGTTCATGTAATTAGTATCTCAGATGAAAAACAGAAGGTTATAATAATTCAAATGACATGATAACTGAAAAGTAAAATAGTTACAATCTCTTTAGACAGAAAGCTGCTTAGATTGAACGTTGTTTCTGTAGAGCGTGTACCTGTTCTGTTCTTACCTGATGTAAAAAAAATGAGATGGTAAACATTACATTTTAAACTAATTTGAGGTTCCTTACATATTCTTTTCTAAATATATTAAATTTAACAAATATTTTAACTTTTAAAGTAGCAATATTTAACTAGATTTCACTTGCTTGTTATAGGGTAACACTAATAACAGTTAGATGAATTAATTTTATTAATTTTTTTGTCAGTTTCTTGTAATCCCTACTTCAGTAGGCTCTTTCATCGTAACAACAACCTTTCTACAGGTCTTCATCAAATATAATCACATATGCAAGGATGATTTAGATCATACAATGATGATCTAAGGATAAACAATGAACTTTATCACAGCTTTTCAGGTGGTGTTATTTGCAAAGGAGCAAACCCATTCTTGGACACTGCAGTAGTAGTTTTGTTAAAAACTGAGAGAAGGGCTGAAAATGGATTTGAGTATCTTCAGACTGACAGGAATCAAAGCTACAGTTCCAGTGGGTTCGATCTCTCCTCTCTTTCTCAGCCAAACACATGGCATAATTTAGTCTTTAAAGCATGCAGTAAAATTACCTTCAGGGTTTGAGTCAGATAGCAGTTTGGACCCGAATACCCAGGATCACAGATGCATTGCTCATTCAGGCAGTCTCCATGGCCTCTACAGTTTTCCAGACAACCAGGGCCCAGATAGAAATTATCGATGGCCCACTGCACATCTGAGTATTTCTGGTAGAACCGAAACCTCACAGGACTAGAAGAAAAACAGACATATGTATAAAACAACTTTGCTCAATTTAATACAGATGAGTGAAACACAATATACTTCGGACTGTACTATCCTCCAAGGTTCCACAAGCAATATCTGGCAGTATCTGTTGAAATGGATTTTATACATATCCATATCTTCCTCTTCACATATGTACTACCTACGGTATGTGGACGGATTCCAGACGCTGCTGAAGCCAGGAAAAGCTGTTCTGGCTTCTTGCAAGAGAATTTCCATTTTGGTTCCATGTCTTCAGCAGATTGCTCAAAGAATATAACAGATTTTAATTTTGCAGAAAAAGACAAGTGGTTTGTATTTGTGCGGGCTGCTGCAGACAATAAGCGTAACTTTCCCACTCAGTGAGGCCATAAATCTGCTCTAATTGACCACAGCTGTCTGAACAGAACATGCTGCACCAGAGCAGACTGCAGAGAGAAGGATAACTTTGCTGGTTGCATAGACCAAGAGTCATGGTCAATCTTGACTGATAGGAAATAAAATTATACAGCATATGGAATGAACGTGAATGCTGCTAATCAGCACTTTCCGTGAAAGAAAATGAATAGGCAGATGTATCCTCTTTTGTGATTTTCAGAACGTTCTGAATCCGAGACAAAGTAAGTAGCAAATTCATACTTACTTGCCAACAAGGTTTTCAGGCAGTGAGTAAGTTACTCTTTTCCATCCTTTTGTGGGAAAGAAGACTGATGGCTGTGAAACACTCCCAGAACATTTTGGATCTGCTGGTAAACACTGAGGTACTAAGTAACTCCAGCTAACGCCGAAGTCGGTGGAATACTGCACATGGACCTGATTTTGTGCAAGTTTTTCTGAGGTTTTACATCCAACAGAAACCTAATAAACAAGAGAGCATAAGTAACTCAGAATTAATTGTGTTTGTGGTTAGAGTTCAAAAAATGTTTGAACCTGAAAACCAACTGAAGAATTTTGCTTGAAATGATGGGAGTAACAGTACTGGTATGGTACCAGTCATCTGCAGATCTCATCAGTATTCCCAGGACTGGCAACAGGCACCATATTCTGAGTTTCATTTTTTCCTAATTAGCTCAGATTTCTGGTTTTCCAGGTTTTGACATTTGTACTTTATACCCCCCTACCCCATAACTAATCAAGTTAATCTACCCTCCCAAACAACCTAAAATATGGGTATTTCAGAGGAGGTCATCCAGCTTTGTTATGTTAGTCTTTATGGGAGAGATGTGCAAAGGGCTCTTAAAACTATGAAATATTGCTGCGTTATTTCTTTAATTTTGGTTAAAGGATATATGAAGGACAGTTTAGGTACAGTTTTGATGTGATTGCATGACAACACAAGAGCTGTGTGGACTACTTTGGAGCTGTTTTTCCCTCACCAAGCAGCTGTAGCAAAATAGGCACCTTGTAAACGTGAAATATCCTTATTACACAGTGTACATACAAAGTGCTGTGCTGGAAGTGAAGAGTGTGTCACCTCTGAGAGCAGCCTGAGGTATTAAAGCTGACCAACATGCAGCAGGTAAGAAAAATTAGGCTAGACTAGTAATAACACTTTTCCCAGCAAAGAATGACTCATACCACCTCCTGGAAAATCTACTTAAACCTGGAGGAAAATGTGGTTTTGAATAATTCTACTGCAGACAAATATTTCACCTTGAACTGCATAATCCAGCCTTCTGTAGGTGTGAGGTCGTGGGTGACTGCGTAGACCTCTCTGCCGTCATGGCTCCCGCAGATCATGACACCGTCAGGAGAATCACAAAACCTCTCGATTGAGCAATCATCATGGAATAACCAGTGTTCATTCACTTGAAAAGAAATTGTAATGTCAGAAATATACCTTGACAATATAAATTAAAGAAAATAGGGAGTAGTGTTAACCACTGAAGATGATTCATGGCTTTACTTTTCAACCTATGTGAGAATTATTTAGTATTGCTCCTGAGAATGTCAGTACCCCATCTTAATACTTTCACACATCATTTATACTACATTTATCACATCTCAAAACAACTCTTACTACTGGCTTACCTGTTTTTTAATGTTCAAGAGATAAAAGATCTAAGACTTACTCAAAACATAAACTTCTCCTGCCCTGGATATTATAGAAGAAGTATTTAACTGGTGTTGCCTACAGGTCTGCAGAAAGGTTAACAACCCGGCACTGTCAGCTGTTAAACCTTGTAAACATCCAGAATTATGTGTTCTACAAAATTTAGTTGTAACCTAATTCCTTAAGTAATATTTTAAAGAGTTAGGCAATAAGAAACAGATACTCAGGTTAAGAAATCTGCTTAGAATAACCTGGCACTTTTAAATCCCTTTTTCTTTCTTTGAAGAGAAATGAATCTTCTAAGTAAATTCATGCAGTAAAAAAGAAAATTGCAATTTCACATTTTGTGAACAAAAAACAAAAGACAAAACCCCTATACCAATGGGATTGTGATATCTGTCACAGTGAGACAAAGATTCAGAGGCTCAGCAGGATTTGGAAATTGCTGCACTGAGTTCTTGCTCTTTAATTCAGAGCCATGTGAAACCTTTACCCGTCGTTTTGTCTTCTACGAGCATGTCGAAGGCGACCCTCCCGGTGGGCCCTGCATCGGCAGGGGAGCGCTCGTGCTGCGGCAGGGGAGCGCTGCTGAAGGTGTCGAGCATCACCGTCCTCTGGTCGGCTGAGCCAGAGATCAACACGTTGTCGATAGCCCAGTCGTTCTGGTCCAGGCCGTCGTGTTTAGGCTGCCACCACCGGAAGCGCGTCCCAATGGTTTTGGCATCGTAGGGAAGAAGGATGTTCACAAAGCTGAAATAAAAAGGGGAAATTAGCTGCAGGAAAGCCTGCTGTTTTAGGAAAACTACCGCACTGTGCTGGATGCTTTGACCAGGCCCCCACCTATTGTTTCCTCCAGTATTTGGAGGTTGGAGAAAAGGAAAGGACCGGGTGATCTAGCCTGTGTTTCTTTATGGGGCATTGCTGAAACTAAAACTTTCCTGATCGTGTCTAATATCATCCCTGGGACAAGGGCTCAAAGTGAGGTGGGAAGGGCCAGCACCTAGATTATGGCACCATTTGAGCAACCTCATGTGCTCCAATTGTGCTTATAGGACCAAATCACAGAATCACAGAGTCACAGAATCACAGAATGTTAGGGGTTGGAAGGGACCTCTGAAGATCATCTAGTCCAACCTTCATCCCAGCATATCTAACCACACACCATAGCCTCAAGTGCTAGATCTACTTTTTTTTTAAACACCTCCAGGGTTGGTGACTCCACCACCTCCCTGGGCAGCCTGTTCCAGTGCCTCACCACTCGTTCAGTAAAGAACTTCCTCCGAATATCCAATCTAAACTTACCCTGACGCAACTTGAGGCCATTTCCCCTTGTCCTGTCATTAGTAATTAGAGAGAAGAGACCAGCACCAGCCTCACTACAGCCTCCTTTTAGGTAGTTGTAGAGGGCAATAAGGTCTCCTCTCAGCCTCCTCTTCTCCAGACTAAACAAACCCAGTTCCCTCAGCCGCTCTTCATAGGGCATGTTTTCCAGACCTCTCACAAGCCTTGTTGCCCTTCTCTGCACCCGCTCCAGCACCTTGATGCAATCATCTAGGCTAGCAGGGTATGACCATAACATCTGAACTGACAGAAGTGTTAGGAAGGAGAATGTTGAAGTAAAATAAGATTACTGATTTCAGTTTGGAGCCATTCAGCAGAAAACAATGTTCTAGTACAATTTTCTTACTTTTCATTAAAACTGTAGACGATAGTACACTTAAATATTTTGCCCAGTTAAAGTGCCAGTGATTTCTTGGTGCATTCAAATGAAATAATAAATAACAGAACCCTCCCATCCCCATTTTCTACAAGTCTTTTAAATTGGCCAGTGAGGCAAGGGTCCACCCATATCTACGCATGATATGAATCTCACAAATATCTGAAAATAGGGCTTGAATGTATCCATCCTTTTGATGGATATCTGCAGAATTCATTTTCTCTTCTACACACCATTTTCTGACTCATTCAAGCAATGTCATTCTGCTCTTGTCAGTAAGCAACTTGATTGCAAATGAAAGTATCTTAAAGAACAGGATGGACATCATTACAGCACCTACTTATTTACCTTCCTGCAACATTTACAAATCTACCAGACTGCTACAGACTCCTTACTACCTTTGTATTTTTGGCTGAGCAGCTGCACAAATGCTGATGCTCAAGCATGTGCGCTAGCGCTTGCAGGACTGGACAGGCTGAGCTCTTAAAGATCTGATATCCAAACCACAGCAGTAATATGTCCCACAGGTTCTTAGGAAACATTCAGGACCATGCTACAGGAAATTATATAGGCAGAAGAAAGGATCTACAAACCCAGGCTTGCTGAATTGGTCATAGAAAATCTCCATTAAGAGGCTCCAGGTGATTCCACCGTTCACAGAATACTCCAGCAGCACTCCTTGGTTGCGGTTATTAGGAGTTATCAGACATCCATACATGAAGTAAAACTGAATGAATTCTGCACTGGTGAGGTTCAAGTCCACTGTAACTAACATACGGCTGCAGCCCTTAAAAGCAATGAAAAATATGTTGGCTGGCAAAACTTACTAATATAAAAAGTGTTAGAGTATGCAGTCACTATTAATATAAGTTCATGTTGTAAAACCTTCAAAAACTGTACAAAATCATACCAGTCATAATGAAGGTAAAGCTACAATAAATGTTCTTCCCTGAGGACTTAATTTCAGTTATGTTCCATCTGAAAAATTCCTGTTGTGTATTCATACATGGTTTTACTTGTACCTACAACTTTACAACTTTTTCAGTATCAAGAATTGTATTCACCTTTCTTCTGTATACAAGAATTACAAAAAATCTCTGTCTCCAATGTAAAACACAAGGTTTTCCAGGCAGAATTAATGAATCACTGATTATATGCTGATGGCTCAATTTATGCAAACTATCAAACGGCAAAGCAATTTTAATAAGTGCCTTTTCCCATAATCCCTTATATATTTCACACTGCTTGGTCTGTTAGTGGTGCCTACTTATTCCTAGTGGAAGGAAGTGGAAACATAATGCTTCTGTTAGTTTATTTTAGAAAACTTGCGTCAGTTTGAACCTAGTAATAAATTTGCATGGAAGAGATCTAGAAGCATAGGTTCTACATGTTTCAAGAATACTATTTTGTCACTTTTATAATCTCCAGGTTATCTTAAGCAAACTGTAATTCAGCAGCAGTCTGGGTTATATTCTTACATATGTAACTAAGCCAGGAAATTTTATTCTGAGCTTACTCTGAAAAAAAACAACAGTGAAGTATCTGAAGGATGAGACTACGCATGGATGCATTTTCACGGACCAAGTGCAAATTACACACATGCAAATACCTAATTATTAATTTACCTCAGTGGTCTAGTTAGAAGCCCCGCTTAACTATGCTCTCTGGAAGTTCTAAGTGCTCTGATAAGTCTATTATGAATGAGTGGAATTCGACGTCTACATACTTGGACAGTGCTTTAATTTACCAGCTCCATCTCCAAGGGCCCCTCCAAGGCTCCTTTCAGGAGATAGACAAAGTATATCTCATTTTCCTGGCTGCTGCATAGCCAGGAATGTGCTATGTGCTTTCCTGGAATATTTCTGGCTGACCCTAGTCTGTAGGACCTGTCTGACTTTGACTTTCAGCTACATTTTAAAATGTGTTTAATATGTTACGCTGATATTTTTTAACACCTTGCTATTTATTTAACTTTTTCCATCAGTCCCACTGACACCGTCAAATGGAGTGAGTTGTCCCCCGTGCTGAACACACACCCCGCTGAAGTGAAGGGCCATCCCAGAGGCTACTGCCCCGCAGACCGTGCTCAGTTTGCCCCCGTTCACTGTCAGCCAGTTCTGGTTCGATGGTGAGCGATTGAAGTTATCTTTCAGTTGTGTCGGAAGGGGGCTCTCCGGCTCGTCGCAGTACAGCCCACCCCAGTGCTCATCGCAGCTGCAGAGGAAAACAAATGCAAAACTCAGCTGGCAAAGGCTCTGCACGGAAGTTTAATCAGTGCCATGTTATTCCTCATTAAGGTGCCGTCTTATTGCGCGTACAGGCTGTCTGCATCGTTTACTAGAGCACAACTGGTGTACAGGGATTTCAAACATCTGCCAGTTTTTGTGGTTGATATGAAACAAAAATAACTTTAGGAAGGTTAGTATTATGTATCCTTCAAGCTGCTAATACAGAGCATGCTCCAGTATAGAGTAAAATCAGTAAAATACGTTGTACTTGGTTGATAAACCTAAGAGAACACGCCAAGCCTAAAAATGTCCTGTTAATATTAAATTTTAATTGTAGTGGATGAGTACACTCCTCTTGCTTCTTTACATAATCCCCCTTTTATTCCTCCTCTTTAAAAAAACTTTTTATAATGTGTCAGAATTGGAAAACGGCACAGAATTGTGTTCTGCTACTATGCAGATTTCACCAGGAAGATCATGCCTTGGTACTTCAGTGTCATTAGGGTAGACGACAGCATAGTAATATGTCTATTCTGCAGTGGAATATATTTCTAACAAACAGAGCGCAACTATACAACCATTCTCCCATTTCTGTTGCCATTTGTGGCTGGAAAAAAGCAATACATCCATCTGGAAGGTATTTCTCTGTTGCCAGACAGACAAGTCTGGGGAGATCTGTTTGTTGTTTGTTAGCTTTGTAGGGCTCTGTGTGGGCTGTAATACAGACAGTTTGTGGATCAAGGCAGTCTGCCTCCACTGGCAAACCCTACCATTGAGCAGAGGCTTCAGGCCCTCGAGCAATACCTGTCCTGAGGCAAAATCTGGCCTTGTGAAGAACTAGCAAATATCCTTCTGCTGTGAGGCCACATCCCACCTCCAGCTCAGGTCCTCTGCGCACAGAGCTGGGATAAGGGCATGAGGACACAGCATGAAACCCCTTGGGAATAAGAATGACATCTTCTGGGAAGCTCCAGGACTGTCGAGGGGTGTGTAAACTCAGAGGGTCCCTCCTCCTACCTGGCTGGTGGCGAGCCAAGATGTAGCATAGGCAACAGCAGAGGTGATGTGTTGCCACTGAGGAAAGGACAACGTATGAACAGGCAGAGCTCTGGCAGAGCCAACCCCTGCACTTACCCTTCCTCTAGTTATTTCTGTTCCCAAGTGGTCTCTCAGCCCTGCTCAGTTTCAACAGAAAAATTCACCTTCCTTGGAAAAATTGTATCAAAGTCTTTCCCTCAAGTTCATTAAAGTGACAGAGAGGAGTGAAATGCTGTAACGCTGGGCAGGACAGGGAGCGAATGGCACTTACACACAGTTGTCCTGGGTGCACTTCCCATGGCCGCTGCACATGTCTATGCAGCCATCCCCAATGTAGACATTATCGATCGCCCACGTTTGCTGCTTATCAAAAGGAGCAGGCTGGTGCCAGCGGAAACGAGTTGCTTGAGACCTTTGAGAGAGAAAGAAAAACATAAAGGTAATATTTCTAGCTAAGATAATCTTTATTTTGACTGAAAGGAAAGGCCAATCTCGAGGCTAGACTCCTCCTGGAAGATTTGTTTGATATCAGCACAAACCAGGGCTGATTCCTGACAACGACAAGGTCCACGACAAGCCAAGAAACAAGGGGATCACATTTTGAGAGCAGGATAAAGCACGGGTACTCAGTAGCATGCTGAGAATGCGAGAGGCCCGCTCCAGCACCTTGCTGAAAGCAAAGCAGTTGAGCTGTGGTTGTTTTGTGGAGAAGAGGGTAGGGAAGCTCAGACCAGTCATACCCACGTCTCAGCACAAATCCGAATTTGAGGGATAGTTGGAGGATGAATCAAGCCAGAGTCACCCAAATCCTCCAGGTTTCACTCTGAGCCTGAATTTCATTGCTTCAGCTAAGTCACCAAACTAATCCAACTATTTTTCTATAAATTCTCCCAAATACACTTAGGTAAGAGCAGCTCTAGGAAGTGAATTGGCTCCTGGACAAGATGCTGCCATTTATAAATCTGCATGGGACAACTGAGAGTGCCCTACAGGGCTTGCAGCATCATCCTGTTTTGCATTTTCCTCCTTCCTCTCCATTCAGGGCTCCACTCAAAAATGCCATTTTACGTTGAAGCTAGTCCATTTTGCTGTACAGCACTAGATGGCAGCAATGAACTTTGTGTAGGCTGTTTTCTTTTGAAACGTAAAGAGAAATCACAATTACTGTAACCATCAAAACAAATATGCAGCAAAATCCCCCAAAATTATTCAGTGTAAAAATAAACCTTTAATAGTAAGGTGAATGTTATTGTATTAATTATTTCTTTATAAACATGTTAGGTGAGGTGAATGAAAACCAAGTTTATACAAAGAGAAATCTATTGCTCTGCTGTCTAGCTGCTCATCAAATAGCATTTTCAAAAGAAATGCATAAATTGTGAGGAAGTCCTTTAGGAACAAAAACAAACACCTATATCTTACACTGCCTGCTTTGGGTTTGGTGCTCCTGGGAGAAGGTTTGTATCTATGTTTGCATTTTAAAATCAGCTCTGAATCTAAGTTAAAAAACTAAGTATTCATTGCCTTCTCGGGGCCAGAGGTTAGACAGCACTCTGGGTACACAAGCCCTGAAAGGCTACGTAAGTGTGGGTGCAGTGCACCAGGCCAAGCTACTGACTGGGCAGCTTTCATGGCCCCAAAACACACGGGCACAGACAATTGGAGACACACACCTGCTATTACACAGCTTGAAATAATAAAGCAGCATAAAAATTATATCACATCTAGACTAAAGGCCCTATTAGCTGAACTGTTCCTTATTTTAGAGCTTAATGTCTCCATTGTTTGTTAGCCAAGGCTGTAATAACCTCTTTTGTGCAATCTCTCTCTCAGTATCCTTGGGAAATGATGTTACTTGAGTGACCAAACAAAATTATTGGATTGGACAGAAGAAGAATCTTTGCCTCAGTAGTGCATCAGACTTCTAATACATACTGTTCAAAACAACTTTTCAGTCTTAAAATCACAGTTATTTATAAACCTGAGGTTATCTCAGGCAGTAGGTTCCTTTCAGGTCCAAATTATCAGATCCTGATTTATTCTATTCAGCCCCAGAAAGCCCTTCCTGAACAAACTTACAGACTTTATACAAGAACTGCTGGGGTAATGGATTTTACAGACAACCTGTAGTGAAGCAGTACAGAAGAGGAAACAGGTGATCAGTCCTGGAAATGAATCCTAAAACAGTACTGTTACTTGACATGGAGATAGGGAAGAGTCTAGATTCCCAAAATGGTTAGTAATGGAACATGGACATTTCCACTACTAGTTTCAAAATCTGTGGCAACTGTATATGCATTCTCAACACAATTGCTAAAAAATAAAGGTCTCTCTTTCCAAACTTGTATGTCCATGAGCTGGCATCTTTCATAACAACCTTCTCAAAGAGGCACAGGCTCTGCCCGCACTGCGGTACTTCTGTGCCTGGCATTAGCTCAGCCTGTGCCTACGTGAAGAAGATTGGACTCGGCAATAGGAGCAAAACTGTAAAGTCGTGCCAAGAGTCTGACATCCAGCCTACCTGTGTTTGCAGGGCTTTACTTTGGGCTAGGTCTGTGCCAGCTTTATCAGGTCTGACTATGCCTGTGTCAAGAAGGACACAGACTGGAAGACTGTACTACCCTGTTGTCCCTAGATGGATCTTTTCGACAAACAAAACAAAAATCCAGCCGTTTTCAGGGCATTGTGTGGCAGTCCTCCCAATAGCACTGTCAGGCTCAAACATCTCCTTTCCCTGCAACTTCCCAACTAATCCCACAATTTTTCTTCCCTCAAAGGCAAAGGAATATAGGAGAAGGAAGAGGAGGTAAAAATGGGGCACTTGTTAAAACAATGGTGAGAGCATCAAAGCTGAGAAAGACATAAAAGATACATGGAATGCACAGAAAAACAAGAAGCCTGAAAAGCGCTACATTTAAAACATCAGCTCATAACCAACAACAGTGAGCACAGGGTACAGTGAGGGTTCGGCCAGTCCAATTAGCTACCAAAGCAACCACAATTTAGTGAGGCTGACAGTAACATGAGATTCTTGAAAAAGTTCCCCGTCTCTTCCCACGACAAGACGGACAAGAACTTCCTATCTTTAAATAATGAAGAAAAGTCAATGGACATAGTAGCTCTGCAATATTTATGCAAAGCAGGATGCAGCTTCATTTACTGATACTTATTTGTTGCAAGCTACAATTATTATAATGCTATAATATATCATGCCTCAATACATAGTTATACATTCAGATTTATTCTGCAGAAAAACAGAGGGAGATACCTAGTATAGGGAGGCAGAGGCAAAGTAACCCGGGTCCACTTGTTGAAAGTGTCCGAAATGAGAATCCTCTGGAGATGGTACTTGTTGCATTCCACATTAGTGGGAAGACAATCTCTCAAAATTGGGTGCCAGGTCAGTCCGAGGTCCACTGAATATTCCAATTCAATAGCTACAGGTGGAAAGATGGTTAGTTACTTAATTTAAAGACTTGCATCCGTAGGTCTACAAATAACTGCAGAGCATTAGTTAGAAGTCTACACTGACAAAATAAGCACTGAAAACTTTTCAAATCCTTGTGTCAGAAGCACAAAGCTAAGCTCTTCAACAGCAGTGCCGGAAGATTCACTGCATGTTCCAGAGCAGGTACAGCTCAAGAGAAGGCTGCGGTACACCTTCACACCCACCACCTAACTCAAGGGACCACGCATGCAAGGATAAAGTCATCTGTTGGGTTGCCAAGGATTAAGCCAAGGCAATTTCTATAGCTGCAGTGTGCAAGAAGGTGATGTGACAGCATCATGACCAGTAATGTGGTTTTTTTTCAGGCTGAAGGATGAGACTCAGCTGGATGTAATCATTGTGTAAGGCAAAACAACACTCAAATTAAAACTTTTGGCTCTGTCACAAGGTGGTTTAGTCATTCTTCCTTCCTCTCCAGATCAGCTCATTTCATTATCTGGCATAAACAATTTTAAATGAAATTCATTAGTCAGTGAGCTTGTTTTTGTTCAAGCACAGTCTAGCCACATTAAACTAATGTATTCATTTCTCAGCAAAAATAAGCAGTTTCATTGTTTTGATGTTTATGGCTTATAAACTTTTATTATGAAAAATAAAGGTTAGCCAAGCCCACTAAATACTTCAAGTTAAACTTTAATGTAGCAATTAAAAAGTAAATAGTAATAGGCACAGAAATGTAACTTGAAGTAAATGTTCCAGCTGCCAGGCATTCTGGCTGTGTAAAACATGGAACGTGGTTGAAGTGACAGGAGTGATAAACCTGTGATCCTTTTTGATTACTACAGACTCATTTTTTCTGCCCTTATGCACAAACAATGACCCTTAATCATCCAATCAGTCCTACTTTATGTCTAAGCCCAGAAGACAGTGCTATAGAAATACAAGGACAAGTGGATACAAACAAAGGTAAGTGAGCTTTTAGTGTTAAATCTCTGTCACCAAAATGAAACACTTTGCTCGTGATGACTGGAAGCATGATTAGGTAATATCTTGCCTAATTTATTACTAAGTTAAGATAATGTTAAGTGTAGTAGACAAAGAAACAAAAAAAAGAAGGAACTGTTTCTTTGCCGATATGTTGTTTAACTGCCAGAACACTTAAACTTAGCAGGGATGATCTTAAGATGCCACAGTCATAGAATCATAGAATGGCCTGAGCTGGAAGGGACCTTAGAGATCATTTTAATCCAGCCTCCCTGCCGCCAGGGACGCCACTTTTCGACCAGATCAGGCAACACATGGGGACCAAACGGGAACCAAACCAGCAACCTTAGCGTTGTTAGCGCTATGCTCAACTGATTGAGCTAACTGGCCTTTTTAATATCAAAAGAAAAAAATATTGTTAAGTATATAAGTAAAATATCTTAATTACTTTCACTGACTTCAAAATAGCAAAGTCAGAGTAGCCACTCCCAGGACTTCATGTAAAATATTTTTTCATTTTCATGCAGAATTCTAGAAGAATAGTCAGTAACTCAGTGAATAAACATGTGCTAAATGCTGCAACATGGTATTCTTCTCCTCATAAAGAAAAATCTGAACGCTCAAACCCTAAACTAAAAGGGTATGATTTAAGACATAGACACAAGAATTCACAAGCTAGGAAGACCTAGTTCTTGTGCATTCTAAAATTTACATAATGAACCAATTTTTAATTTCCATGTGATGTGTATTGAGTTCAGAGAATCTTTATTTTGATGTGCATATATGTGTATATGTGTATTTATGTCTATATATATAGAGACATTTAAAAGCATGCTCGGCACTCGGTACACATTGTTTGCAAAAAAGGAAGATGATAGGTAATTAAAAATCGCATTGTTATGTTTATATGTATATATACACATCTGTGTGCATGTATCTATGCACACATTCATATACATATACATACATGCATATACATTCATGTTTATTATTTCATGAAGAAAAAACAATTTTTTTTGCAGTTGATGTTGATTTAGCATGTGTCAAATGTATGCTGATATAAATGACTTCTTAGTTATACAGGTACAGGTACAATGGTGACTTACTTCACCAAAAATGCAAACCCACAAAGCAAGATAGCTATGCTGGGAACACCCAGCTGCTTGTTATTAGAACCCCATGATCACCCCAAGCAGTGGACACCATATACTGTTAAAGGGTTTTGAGTAAGACAGCAAGTTAGTCTTTTTCTTAAACGAACTGAACTGCTCTTGAAGTGCTCAAAAGTAATAACATACTTTATCTTAGGCTTCAGAATAAAAAAGCTAATATTAACAATTCCTAACAGAAACATGCAGCTTTCTTTTGTTTCTCAGTTCTTGTGACGGTGAATAATGGAACCAGAAAACAAGTGAACTTTCCTGTACAGGAGAGGAAGAGGAAGGGCAGGAATTACTATGAAGTCATTACCGTAACAGGAGTCTGTGACAGAGCAGGATGCTGCAAAATCTATTTGCAAGAAAGAATCTTCATTGACGACGATGTCAGTGGTGACCACATAGCGGGTGCTAGCTTTCTCAATGAAGACTAGAGCATCCCCAGTAGAGCCACAAACTGGCATCTTTGTTCCGCCAGGATGGAGCAGCCACTTTCTACTATCCAGTGTGCTGAAATCGTCTTCTAGTACTGTATTGCCAGAGATGTTTCCCCCAATAAGAATCTGAAATATTAGGGAAGGAATTACTACTGAAAAGAAGAAATATCTAGAAGTCTTAAGAAATATACATGTGACATAGCATCCCAGAGGAAGAAGAGATTTACCAAACTATTCATACATATTCTGCTGGTCTAAAATGGACAGTTATTTTGTAAAGAGTTTAGATTATGAGGAAGGGGAATATCCTTTTCCTATAAAGGAGTCCTAATGATATCGGCTCAGCAAATCTAAAGTTCAGCGGGGTGAACTCCATTTTGGATGAAGTAAATGTGCTTACAAAAATAAATGTTGGTAGGAGCAAAGTGATTACTCTGTCATTTTTCCTACTGATTGTTCAGGTCCACTGTAGTCTGGTGCACTACTATGGGATTGCATCTACTGATACAACTGGGGAAATAGTCTCTGATTTGCCATTGACTGTAAGATGTCATCCTTTTACTCGTCAACTCCAAATCAGGGAGAATTAATTTTAACCTGTTATTTTGAATTCGGTTTCTGACTATTCTGAACTAATATAACTACATTCAGTGAAGACAAAAGAATCAAAGAATAAAGATGATTTTCATTTTTAAATGGAGAGATGGGAAGTAAAAAGTTGTAAACACGTTGTTAAATGTGTCAGGGACTTTAGTTTCTGGGTTTCTCCTAAGAACCTGAACTACCTCCTTTGAAAAAAAGATTCACAAACATTTAAGCAAGTTGCACTTGAGCAGCCCAATAACACTTCTTATAGCATAATCACTTTAGTGGGGTTTATTGAGATTTATACCAAGTCATACAAACCAATGAAACAAACTTTACAGCACCAAATCCCAAATATGGAACAAGCTTTTGTTTGCAAAACTAGATGGATGGATATAGATAGATATTTTTCTATAGTTTTTTTTCTATTACATTCTACCAACTTGTTTAAATATTTGGGGTTTGAAATTTAAACTCAGACTTGAATGTTGCATGGTAAGGCCTTCTGCAACATGAACCTGAGACTCTACTCCTGTATAAAGACTTTCCTAGCCCCAAAATTGGCATTCATTGCCCCGCATGGAAGTGGTGCATTAAACCCACAAGATTAGCAAACAGTAATTGTGCTCTATTATTCTGCTAGATTATTATAGTTCTGGAGTATCTGCTTTGCTTGATCCAGTGAAATGACATATGCCAACAAAAGGGAAACATTAAGACTGAAAACAGTCTAACGTTGCATTAAAAAACCGCAAACAAACAGAGGATTCCTTACCTGGTCGATTACCCAGGGACTGTAGAAATGCCCATTCTCGGATGGTTGCCACCAGCGAAGCCGAGTGGAGCTGGAACGGGCCTTCAAGGGAATTTCCAGGGCAATGTACCGCCCCACGTTGCTGGAGTTACTGAAGAGGAACTCCTGGAGAAGGCTCCACGTGAGGCCCCCGTTGAGCGAATACTGCAGCAGCACAGGCTGACTCCGGGGGTCTGGCACCCCTTTGCCACATCCCAGTCTCATGAAGAACTGCACAAATCTAACAGGGGAAGCATTTACTGGGAAGATTTCTTTTTTGAGTTTGTCTATTGATTGGCCCTGTCATTTCTTGCTCTAAGAGTCAGCTATAGGAGATCTTATGATTTGCTTTTCAAAGTCTCCAGAATATACACGGATAGATAGGTGGGATGACAAAAATTGATTCTGCCTGTGTGGTAGTTTGCCAGACAGCAGAGGCTGACAAAAGTCAGTCATTTAAGTTTTGAGCTTTTGTCTGCATAGCAGATGGTGTTGCAAGTACCAGAAACATAATCCTGGGTGAAATTTTTTATCCCTGTAGCCCATGAGTACAGATTTTAGTAGCAGAAAAGCAAGGGTGCCCTAAGTAGATCATAATTTGCTATGAATTTGCTGAAATGCTTAAATTCAAAATAAGCATCTCGGTTTTCCGTTGGCATGAACTAGAGAAAATCTGGACAGGAGAACAAAGCATGTTTCACTTTCAGGGATCATTTTGTCCATTTAGGCAGGCTGGGAAATTCGTCTGAATCACACCACTTAAGTGTGCCGGCTTCCCTAAAGCCAGCTCAAGCCACCCACGGACACCAGTGCCTTCAGCCCCTATTTAATTACCTTTTCCAAAGCAGCACAATAGACTTGTATCAAACTGTGAAGTTCTTCCTGTTAGCTGATGCTCAAAAATAGCTCTACTATGCACTTGGGGTGAGGGGAAGTGCTGCTTTAATGATATTTACCCATTGGACTCTCAGGAATATTACAAGCGCTAATTCATGTTTGCACAGCTTTTGCACAGGTTTAGAGTGCTGTATCTGTTCTAATTATTATTGTGTTAGTGCTGCCCAGCTCACAGTTAAACGAGACCATGCAAAAGAAGTTTTGCATCTAAAATCTTGCTCTGGTTTGATCTGCAGGTAGATTTGCTGGCAGTGGAGGCTGCAGAGGTGCTGGGCAGACAAAGCTTCAATAAAACACCAGACTTGCAAGTTAATTAATTCTAGTCCTTGCTGCGACTCATGGTTTCTCTTGCTACTATATATAACTTCTTTTGCTGCGCATTATATCCACCAACATGTCCCAGACATAACGTATTGCTTGTGCTGTAGAGGAGCACTGGGGAACCTCGTGGATCAGCATACCCACTGCAATGGATTGGATTCACTGCTGGCAAGTCTGCGCCTCCTCAGATTTACTCTGACATTTGCCACATAATTCAAAAGAAATACACCCAGGTGACCTTGTCTCTGTTGAATCTGCTTTCTGTGGATTGCTATTCTTTTATCTTAATTTTTACTAATATAGTAATAACCCACTCACATCTAGCAGATAAAAAAGCAATTTTAAATATCTCCTCATGCCACAGGTATTTTGCAAAGTCTCTGCCTATTTTGAAATGGAAAAGCAAAATTTTCTTGTAGATCTAGTAACACTAAAATGTGTGGATATTCTAGCAATTCAGCGATGAGCAGTTGTGATACCTAAAATATTCCGTCCCTGCTGATACTTCATGCTGTGCAGTTTCAGCTACTATTACCACCATGATAGTGATATACTGTCTCCTGTGTTAAATTCTTAAAATATAGATGTGATGGCAGTGGATAGTGGACTGGAGAGTCCACTTGATTTCAATGCCACGTGCCAAGGGTAGTTTGCAGCACTGACAGACACCGCTGCTCACTTGTGTTCTTCAGGGGATCCGCTCGTATGAAAAGGGAAGTTTTAATGTGACTACTGAGTCTACTGCCCTTAAAAACATCAACTAGAAGTGCTGGTTCTTGCCATTCCTGGCATAATCTGAAACCTCTCACCAAAACACAGCATGTCTGTGTCACAGCCACATCTGCAGGTGGCTGATAGAGTCAGTCTGGAAATTAAGAAAATCCCACTGCAATGACTTTAGGTTGCTAAAGAGCAGTCCCCATGAACACCATTGCTGTCTGCCTTGCTCTTCAGCAGAAAACATGCAGTTCTCTGTTGATAACTGTTATTTTCCATAAGCATATAAAAGAAATTAAATGTACTGCTTTGTTTTCCTTTTACTAAGACAGAAGTCATTTATCTCCATATAACACCTGCAGGTCAATATATGCAAATCCAGCTACAGACTATCATGGAGAAGAGATAAATGACAGTTCTTTGAACACTAGCAATAAGGGAATCATGTAATTTAGTCTAATGGAGCAACTTACAAGATCTCTTACATCTTTTGTTAAAGAATCTTTTAATTTCAGAATGGTCTAGGAAATCAAATTAGAGCAGAGGATTGATATTTGTGTTTACCAAGTTCTGAAAAAAGTTTGCTGTGATGAATCTTAGAAATTCAATACAGAGATCTTTAATATTGCACCTTACGGAGATTTAGCTAATTTGATCTAAAAAATATAATGGTTAGAAACCAGGCATCTTTACTGATCATAAGACTCTGCAACTAAATCACTATTTAAAGTTTCATTGTTAATGAAGCCAAATAAAAAGGAGATCAAGTGCCTCTTAAAGTCCTTTGCATGGGACATTAAAGAGGAGCAGGATATGTACAAGAGATCAGTGGAAAAAAGTCTCAGAGAAAATGCAGTCTCTCCAAAATAATAATATAAGGATATAAATCAAGATACTGAATAATTAGAAAGCAACATCTGTTTGTTAGCATGCATGCCATTAGGATGGATTTAATATATATTACTGTAATTTTTTTAATGTGGCTTCCTTAGCGTATTTAACTCATCAAATATCTCCTCTGCAGGCCATAATGATACAACATAGTGTCTAAATACACTAAAAATATTTGGTTTTCAATGCTGTGCTCAGTGTAGCTGTTGACAGCTTGGTGGGAATTTGTCAGTGAATTATTGGAAACAAATGTGCACGGTAAGAAGAAAGTAAGCTTCAGAAATGAAAGAATTATGAGATGATGAATGTTATACTGGCAATAGATACTCCTGTTTCAGCAATGGCTTATAATACACCAGATTGCAAGACAAGCAGAGCGTCTGACATGCAATCGATTTTTCATGTTATGCATTTAAGAAATAAAAACTTGCATCAACTACTGAAGGTATGGCATCAGATCCTGGAGTTCTTATTCAAGGAAAGAACAAACATTCAAATGGTTGATGCAATTAAATTTCAAGTTAATTTAATTTAAAATGGTAACAGTGGTTAAACTCAGATATTTGCTAGAGTGAGGACCACAATATATCAGCTTGCCTTTACTACAGAAGCATCACACATGTATTAGTGTTCAGTATATTACCTCTTCAGTGAAATTCTGAAAGAACTTTAAAATTGTGTTACCTGGCTTGTGACAAATCTAGGTCTCGAGTCATCAGCATCCGCAAGCCTTCTTCATTAAAGAAAAGATTGTTTCCTCCAGACATGATGCCACATTTCCTTGATGGTTTTCCACCACTCACAAGCAGGAATCTGTCCGATTCCAGCTGACCTGAATACACAGTAAATACATATTTATGATTTACTCCAAAGTGCTCCTACTGCAAGAGTAGTATTTCCAGAGGAAGAGAAATAAATTAAACATCACATGCAGAGTGAAGAAATATTCAGTGTTTCCAGTGCAATGTATTCTAGGAAACTGCCACAAATCAAAACAAAATAAACAAAATAAACAAAACAAAATAAACCCAGAAGTAGGACATCTGGGATCTTAGCCTTCAGTTATTTACAAGGTTTTTTCACTTTTCTTTATTTTTCTTAAGACAACAACAAAGCACTCAGGTCTATAAAGAAACTCTGGACACCATGAGGTAGCATGCAAGCCAGGGCAGGTGACGTTTAAGATAAACAGAAGCACCTATGAAGGGATGAATTTGGTTCACAGGTAGTGCTTTATTCAAAACCTTCTCTTCTTCTCATGCTTGCTAGTGGGGGAGACCTTGAGGCGGTTGTGTGCATGGACGCTGTGTGTGCCCAGGCATGCATGAGGCTCTGACTTCCCTCCTGCCACTGCTTGGTTGGGATCTGCCGTGCCTGCCAAGCGGTGGCCCACCCTGCTGAGACTGCTCTGAAACCCTGCTTGCCGTATTAAGGCCACTTAGATTTGCCTTGTAGTGAGAAATGACACAACCTCCTGTTGTTTGCCTCACTTACACATGTTCTGTCTGTGCTAAAGTCAAACTACTCTCAAACCATCATTTTCTTCTAAAATCATTTTCTACATGTAGAGTTTCAGCAAGTTCTGTTTCATTGAAGATTTTCAATTCCAGCATTAAGAGCTTTACAAAGACCCAGACACTCCAATCTAGACAACTGATAACCATCAGATATTCACAAACCATGCTTGAGAATGCCATCTAAACCGCTTGGTTCATGGGGTATCCCCACAACATAAATTATATTCAGAAGCATGGAGACAGAGGATACAGAGAAGGCAGAGTT